AGAGTTCTTAGATGACCAAAAAGAAAAGCGTCCAGACAAACGGCGTTGCCCTAATATTCCATATTTCTAACACCAACCTAGATGTATCTATATACTTGATCAGGGTCAATAGCCAAGTCGATTTAGCCATGTCCGTCCGTCTGCCCGTGAAAGGCAGAGGTTCCAGGAAGTATAAGAGATACGAAATTGGGATTAAGCATGCAGATTCTGGGGATCCCTACGCAGCGGAAGTTTTTTTAGCAGCCTGCCACGCCCCTCCAACGCCCTCAAAAACTGAAATCGGTAAAATCTCAGGAACTATTTGATATGTAAAATTATCAATTATATTATTATTATTAAAAGTGGTAGCGCATCTTAAGGCGGTACCATTACCCACGCCCACGCCCACCCATCCGTAAGCTCGAAAAACGATTTTCGCTTTTTATAGAAACGCTGAGATCTCGGTAACTATAAGTGATAAAATGTTAAGATTAAGCATGCACTTTCTAATAATACCCCTTAGCGTATAATTTTTTCCGTATATGGCCATAAAGCGCGAAAAACTGAAAAAGAATTAATAAATAGTATTTACCTAAAATGTGAACTGCACGGAAGCAACAGTCTCTGTGGACAGACACTGTCATACTAAGAACTGACCCTAACTGGACTCCCAATTCGAAAATATAAACAAGAATAAACGGTATAGTCAAGTGCCGCGACTATAAAATACCCGTTACTGTTTTAAACAATTTTAAAATATTCATTTTGCTTGTGGAAATAGACAAGGCGCCACCTTTTGTCAAAAAAGCATTTTTATTTACTGATGGTCACGTCACTTCCCATGTGAGGCCTTATAACCTACATTTCTTTATAAACAGCGAAAAAATGTTCCGATTTGAAAAATCTTTGGTAAATCGATGTTAACAAAAATATGTTATACAAGGTTAATATTATGGACGCTACAGTTTTCCGCGGTTTGTGGGCGTTAAGGTGGGCATGGCTGTATGAAAATACCATTTTGAGCTGCGATGTCATCTCAACATTTAAGAGTTTTTGATTTTCCGCATTTTATGGGCGTTCGAGATGGTGAAAAAATAATAGGCATTGGGAGCATCATTAGAAACTGCATGCTTAATCCCTTAATCACTTATAATCACTTTTACTTACCGAGATCTCAGCGTTTCTATAAAACGTTGGCGTTGCCGGATAGTGGTTTCACCTTGAGATGCACTGCAGAGAACGGCAAGGGTACACCCAGACAATGAGTGCACCCGAATCATTTGTGCCTTTTCGTCACTCAGATCGGCACCCTACAATAAGGGTGGGTGTCTTGCACAGCTCATTTCCAATCTGCACTTGCGCACCCAGTACTCTCTTGCACAGACACCCAACACACTCATAGCAAATGAAAGTAGTGTCTGACACACCCATGAGACCATTATTGGGATTTCCTTCCTTCGTTTCATGTAAAATTATTCAACCCTAATGACCTGCTCATCAGAGAACGTCAAGGGTGTCTTTTTTCGGCACCCGAATCACACTCATACATTTCGAGTGTGTGTCGCACTCATGAACAGCAAGAAAAGAGCACACACCCGGAGTGCACAGATCGCTTTGTGCGTTTAGGGTGTTTGCGTTTTTGACACCCGCTCAATTCTAGGCACATGATCCTAATGCACAGACACCCGACACACTCATAGCAAATGAAGCGAGTGTCTGAGACACCCATGTTTTTGGGAAAAGTGAGTCGGGTGTCTTGAAAATGAGTCGAGTGTCTTGAAATGATTCGAGTGTCTTGAAATGAGTCGGGTGTTTCGGGTGTCTTCAGCTGTATTGCATGAGCAGGTCATTGAGGGTTGACCGAATAATTTTACATGAAAGGAAGGAAGGAAATCCCAATAATTTAATCTTAGAAAAGTATATTTCTAATAATACAAATTATTGCCGTCTTCAGTAACTAATATTAAAAAATAAGAGTTTATAATCATTACAAGTATTTAATGACAAAGTCTTAAAAAACCCAAAAAAACGTACATTGCATCAATATTTTAGGATTTTCCGTGTTGTTATCAAACCATCTACCTGCAAATGTATTCCCGTTTTTGCAGATGCGTATAAGAATACAGATCATAAGTCAATTGCACTGCGAATATCAGGTAGATGGCCTGACATGGAAAATCCTAAAATATTTGGCCTTTTTTAAGGGGCCATTATTGGAATTTCCTTCCTTCCTTTCATGTAAAATTATTCGGTCAACCCTCAATGACCTGCTCATGCAATACAGCTGAAGACACCCGAAACACCCGACTCATTTCAAGACACTCGAATCATTTCAAGACACTCGACTCATTTTCAAGACACCCGACTCACTTTCCCAAAAATCATGGGTGTCTCAGACACTCGCTTCATTTGCTATGAGTGTTTAGGGTGTCTGTGCATTATACTCATGTGCCTAAAATTGAGCGGGTGTCAAAAACGCAAACACTCATAACGCACAATCCGATTTGTGCACATTCAAAATGTGCTGTGCAAGACACTCACCCTTATTTTAGGGTGCCGATCACACTCTGAGTCCCGAAAAGGCACATATGATTCGAGTGCACTCATTGTATGGGTGTACCCTTGCCGTTCTCTGCTGCTCATGCAGGTCACACTCAGATCAGTTGAAGACACCCGAAACACTCGAATCATTTGAAGACACCCGACTCACTCATCCCAAAAACATGGGTTTTTCAGACACTCCCTTCATTTGCTATGAGCATTAGAATCATGTGCATAGAATTGAGTGGGTGACAAAAACGCAAACACACAAAGTGATCTGTGCACTCGGGTGTGTGCGCTTTTCTTGGTGTTCATGAGAGCGACAAACACTCGAAATGTATAAGTGTGATTCGGGTTCCGAAAAAAGACACCCTTGACGTTCTCTGATGCACTGGCATCTCAAGAGAATACATACTTAATCCCAACTTTCTAGCTTTAAGAGGTTTTGAGATTTCAGCGATTTTAATTTTTCGGGATTTATGGGCGTTATAATTGGCGTGGCAGGATGCTGAAATAAACTTGCGCTGCGCAGGACCTTGAGAATCTGTCTGCTTAATCTTAACTTTTTATCGCTTATAGTTTTTGAGATTTCAGCGTTCATACGGACAGATGGACATGGCAAACAAATTTACCTAGCAACTCTCGAACTTATTTGTACTCGTTAAGTAAAATATAATAAATATAATCGTTAAAAAGAATGTAACAGGTAAAATGAGCTTTTCCGACCCAATAAGCATTAAGCATTAAGTTTGACCATGTATAGATTGTTTTGTAATAACTAATTTACAATATCTTAAGATATGTACAACCTACATCGCTCGCTTCGCTCGGCACGCTTGCCTTTAAATGAGAAGGCTGGCCGTCGCGCTCCGCTTCTCAAGCTTGGCTTATGTTTCAAGCGCGGGCAAAATAAAATATTTTTCGTTTAGGTTTCTATTCAACATTTATTGAAGTGCTCTATAATTATGACTATGATTTATATTTTTCCATCAGGTGCGTAAGCGAATTAAACAGTTGATTTTCCAACGGGCGAGCAGGCCAATAGAGCTGCCCATGCGAGAAGCATGTACTCTCCAAATTATTATCCTTGTGCTTTGTTGATAGTCATGCATGGAATAGCCGTCGAAATCATTGGGATACGTGGCAACAGTACGTCTTAGCATTTGAATTTCCCAGTCAAAATTGTTGTTTCGATAATATTGTTAATCAGTTTCTTGGCTAAGAGCGTGGTTCCATTGCAAAGTCGAGGTGGATTTATATTTCTAAGATGAACGATGGGTTCGCCAATTATCTAGCAGTGTAAGACCAAGCGCTTCCAATGCTTTCTTGTGACACATTCGTCCCATATAATAATTTGACACATTTTGGAAACTCTGCCCATTTCAGAGTTTTTGTTGAGGTTGCATATTGAAGCCTATGTTTTGTTGCCGGTTCCAAATTATGCAATGGCCAGTGCAATATTATTTTCTGATCGTATGGTTCCCAAAATTAGCGATAGAAGAAAAGTCTTGCCATTACCACCGGGCGCATCTATGAAAAACAGTCCACCACTTTGTTCTGTGATTGCACGCATATACGCAGCGCGTTGTTCTGGAACCAACTGCGGAAGTTTGGTTTGGAAGTTTTGTTTACATTCAATTTTATATATAGATAGATAGAAGGTAATATATATAATGAAATGCTTGATCATTCGTAAGTTTAAAAAAATATAATTTTATTTTTATTAAACCGAATTATTACAAGGTTCTTTGATGAAGAACACCAGCTCGAACAATTTCGTGTCTTGAAATGAACTTCACTGGGTGTTGAGTTTTACAGTAGTTTTTAGATTTATAAACTTTACTTTTGTGTGCCGATTATAATTATGCTTAAACGCGTACCGATGATAACTGATTTCGAGCGTTAAATGTCTTAAACTGATTTTATCTTAAGTCTTAATTTTTTATGAAGCCTTGGTTTTGCGCTTTTACAATTATTATGTTCTCTGAGAGAACTTTCTTATATCTAAGCTTTATTCTCTTGTATTCAAGTTCGATACTCTTGAATACAAGATTTCTCTTTTTAATTGTCCGTAACAGGACTCCTACTTTAACCTTGATCGTCTATGGAAAATTTCGGTGTGAATGTTTAGTCTAAGAGTCTGAGTAATAAGACTCTCTTGTTTTTCAGTTGCAGTGTGGGAAAAGAATTTAGGCCTGCGATCTGTCTGTGTTTAAATATAGGTCCGGGGTGTTTAGATAAAGGTCTGCGAAAGTTTATCTTTTTCCCATGGTCGATTAAGTTTACATAAAAGTATCTATATCTTGCTTATGACTAAAGTGGAGGTGACGAGGTTATTATGGATATGTCACTATATATATTTTAGTAATGTTGTAAATTCATTCAACATAATTATAAATACGACATTAAAATATAATCAGTATGAAAATCGCTAAAACAATTTTTTCTAAATATATACTGAACGAACTATTTTTTTTTAGATTCACGGGGCTCGACCAGCTGTTAATCTTACATGGTACAATTCCAGTACCGTAATTAGTGCTGATGAAAATGACCTAACTGAAATTCGGATTAAATCGGTAAAAATAAGTTTTGTAATCGCCTTATTGATATTTTTATATAATATATTTATCATAGTTCGAAAAGAATGATGGCACATATCACACTCAATCAGAACTAATTTTTAACGCCACTCGCTTTGAGAATGATCGAGTTTTTCGTTGTGAAGCTGAAAATGTGGTTTTACAAATCAATCGTGAGAAACCAATTTCATCAGCATTAACACTCGAAGTTTTATGTAAGTGAATTAATAATACTTTTAAGATGAGTTGTGCTCCAGTACTACAAATGAAAAATTAAATGTTGAAATTTTTGGATTTTGAGAAAAGCCAAAAAACATTTTGTTAATCCGAAAAATGGCTGTACTCATAAAATATTTTTGCACGTTATGGTATTTAAATTCGTTATAAGAATAACTAGTTGAATTGATCTAGCCATGTCCGTCGAAATATGAATTATTTAAGATTACACTTTTTTGTGTTTTTGCTTTTAAATCAAACGACTCTTAATGTCGAAGGAAATTCGCTTAAAAATGTTGACTTTTAAAGTAGTTTTTTGACGGCTTTTGGTTTGGGATCTAAATCTTTTTACACTCTAAGCCAATGCATTACTTCTAGTTAACAAAACACATCTCAATACCAAGTAAAAAAGAAACGGAAACATATGATAAACTTATAATATGTTATTACTTATTTTTTTAAATTAGTATTATTAAAACTACGGAAACTAAGATATACTGGAACACAGGTCACTTAAGAATACGGCATACATTTTCTTAATACAATAATTTTTTTAATTTTCTCTAGATCCCCCCGTTGTTAAAGTCAGTCCAACTAGTATTAATGTTAATACAAGTGAAGTAGTTCTTCTTAATTGTGAATATGTAGCAAATCCTGCTTCTTTAACACATGTTGAATGGTAAGTAGATTTTAGATACATCATTCGTAGATTTGTATGACCTAAGACCTATAGGTTCTTTACGCGTAAGTTATATTTGAATTGCTTTTATTTTAACTGTACAAAAGAAATATAAATACATTTAATTATGAACTTACGGTGCGCTATGCATATTTTCGTTTTTATAATCTTAAATTCTTAATAAGTTCCAAAATAATAACATTTTAAATCAAATTTAAAGAAAAACAAGAGGAAACGCTATAGTCGAGTACCGCGACTATAAGATAGCCGTTACTGTTTTACACAATTTTAAAATATTCATCTTGGTAGTGGAAATTACCCAAGCGCCACCTATTGTCGGAGAAAGCATGTCGAGTAACTGATAGTGATGTCACTGCCCATGCCTTATAACCTAAATTGCTTCATAAGAAGCGAAATAATGTTCTGATTTGAAAAATCTTTGGTAAATCTATAGATATAAACAGAAATAAGTTATACAACGTCAAACGAAGGCATTCATAATATTATTATAGACGCCACAGTGATCCGCGTCTTGTAGGCGTTAGAGTGGGCGTGGCCGGATAAAAACTCGTGGGAAGTTGCAGTGGCATCCCTAAAATACGTATTCTTAAGCTTTCTAGCTCTTTTAGTTCTCAAATTTTTTGCATTTTTGGTTATTCGGGTTTTGTGGGCGTTAGGGTGAGCGTGGCTAAATGGAAAAAAAAACAATTCGCATTTGGGGCATCATAAAAATCTACATGTTTAATCCGAACTTTCTATCACTTATAGTTACCGAGATATATTGTCTTCTTGAAAATGCGAAAACCGTCTTTTGAGCTTAGCGGGCGTAAGCGCTGGCATCTAAAGATTGTAACATGCCAAATTTCAACATTGCATCTCTATTAGAGACCGTTTTTTGTCAATATCTATAGATTTACCAAAAATTTATCAAATCAGAACATTATTTCGCTATTTATAAAGAATTGTAGGTTAGAAGTCGTCACATGGGCAGTGACGTCACTATCACTATCGCGGCACTCGACTATAGGGTTTCTTCTTGTTTTTTATATGACGAGTAAAGTATAAGGAAATAAGGTCTTGGAGAGAATAATAATTTAAACTCATATTATTTTTTCAAGTTTTTATATAAAGAGTAGGCTATAAGGTTGTATCGTTTTGGTCGGAAAGTATGAAATACATAGGTACATAGGTAATTTGGTATATTGAATAATAGCCGCGTCGATTTAGTCATGTCTTTAATGTGTCTCGGAGCATAGGGACTTGCTCTCATAAGCTTTGAGCGCTCGCCGCGATATTACACTAACAATTTTTTTGTTTTCCTCTTTCCGCCTCATTCCGTCACCAAAGGCAAAATATTTTGTTCTTGTTTCTTCCTGGAACATCTTCGAGCACTTGCACTAGAATTCATTCCTTATACCTTCTGTTTGCAATTTAGAGTATATTTCGAATTTGGAGGGTTAGTAAAATGGGTGATGATTTTTCTCTCTCAGTACACAGCTCAAACCGACAAAAAAAACGTCAGAAAATATGTGCACGCTTTCTTGTATTTGTGTTAAGAGACGATTTCGAGCACCCCAGGTATAAGACAGTGACGTCACTATCAGTTACTCAAATTGCTTTCTCCGACAGTGGGTGGCGTTTTGGGAATTTCCACTAGCAAAATTAAATCGCGGCACTCGACTATAGCGTTTCCTGTTCTATTTTGTTGATTCTGAGTACCCATAACACTTTGTGAGCCATTGCTTCCCTTAAACAGAATTTGTTTTTAAACCATTGTTTTGAAATTAACAAAATTAACGTCAAAAAAGGCGACTGCAATAAAACTAGCACTATCTACATATGTCTTAGGCCCGGGATTTTTCAGACCGTGTGCTACATGTCGCAACTCTCTGGTTCTTATAATTCCTGAGATCTGAGTTAGCTCTTATAGTTCTCCACGTTTTGTGGACATTAGAATGTGGGTGGTCAGGTAGGGAAAAATAATACACTTGGAAAAGCAAATTTATTATTTTGAAATTGCTTAAAACAGTAATCAGATACCAATAAACTACAATCCATAATTAGGAATGGATTAAAACTAAATTACAAATAATATTAAAATAATAAAAACGACGAAAATAGAAGTTCCTAGCCAATCACCTAAATATATACAAAATATAATACATCTCATTTGAGCGCTTGGTCACGGTTTTCTAACATAAAAACCGATTTTTCATCTATTTTACTTACTATATAAACTTTTCTGCTGAAAATGATAAACCGCCCACAGTAATCAATTTACGCTTCTGTCTGGAAAATATCAGCCGAAATGAAAAACAATTTTAAAATATATACATAGACGATTTTTTAACTTTTAGGTACCGCAATGATGATTTGGTGAATGTAAATGTAACGAATCATTATAAAGGCGGGAATTCTGAGAACGTGGCTCTCGTTATAAAGTCTGCAGGAAAAGAAGACATTGGAAATTATTCCTGTGAATTATCAAATACTATTGGCAAAGGAACATCTAATCGAAAAATCAATCTGGACGTGCAGTGTAAGAATATTGAATATATATATTATATTTAGAAATGTACATGTTTTATTCTTATTATAATTATATTATTGTAATATTACTTTAAAATATTTTATAGATGTTCCAAGTGTAGAGATTCTTATGATACCAGAGGGGCCTGTAAAGGAAAGCGAGGAATCAAATGTCACGCTTTTTTGCAATGTATTAGATGCCAATCCGCTAATTCTTACCAAAGTGAGGTGGTATGCAAACTCTACCCTTCTTAAGGAGCTTCCAGACTGTGAAGAAACAAGAGTATGTAAATGTGTTACTTGAAAACGTTATTAAACAATTTTTAAGAAACGAATTAAAGTATACAGCCAATAAGCTATTTCATTTGAACAATATTTTACATATTTTATAATTATAAAAGCTAAGATAATTTATAATTTCGTATATACGTGATATATAAATATATATGTAATATGTATGTATTTATGTAATATATAAATATATATATATGTAATATACTCGTATATGAATATATATATAACGCTATATATATATGTTCTACTTTTTGATCAGTCTATATCAAATGGGAAGTGATTGTTTTGAACACCCGTTTTTTATTTACACTTTGAGCAATTGTTTCAATGGCATCTCTTAAATACGTATTTTTAAACACAAGTTTCTAGCTCTTATAGTCCCCGAGATTTTCGAATTTTTGGTTTTTCGGGTTTTGTGGGTGTTAAAGTGGGTGTGGCTTGATCGGAAAAGAGCAATTCACATAAGGGGCGTCATAAAAACCTACATGCTTAATTCGAACCATCTTATAGTTACCGAGATATGGGCGCATGGGTGGGTGTGGCCGGATACATACTGATGCGCCTTTCAGTATGTATAATCTTTTGATGCGCCTGCATCCAAATATTATACATACTGAATTTCAACTTCCTAACTCTAATAGTTCCTGAGATTTAAGCGAGTTTAGTTTTCTGCGATTTAGAGAGGGCGTGGCAGGATGCTGAAATAACCTCGCGCTGCTTATTGACCTCAAGAATCTTCATGCTTAGTCTCAACTTTGTATCTTTTATAGTTGATCCTGATTGACCGGATTGATCGTGATCAAGAATATATATACTTTATAGGGCTTGAAACGCTTCCTTCAACTGTTACATATAATACTTTTCAACGAATCTAGTATACCCTTTTACTCTACGAGGAACGAGTATAAAAACGGGTAAAAGGAAATATTATTTTCCTTTAAGAGTGCCACTCAAATTAGTATAAATTTTTGAACACGACGTCGAATCAAGTCAATGTTCATGTGTCCGAATGAAGTAGAAATATGCGATAAGCTTACTAATGCGTTTATTTCAGAGCCCTGCTACGCCTTCTTCTTACAATTCTTATTTGTTATATTTATTTTTAGGAGGATCTATGCCATATAGATCCAAGTAAGCTCTTATTAGAGAGTATTGGACGCGGCTTCTTCTACAACTATTCATGCGAGGGATTTAACTCCGCTGGCTGGGGTCCACGTAGTGAAGACAAAGAACTGATGGTTAGTCTAAATTGATTTCGGATAAGTCATTGAATTTAGAATGTACATTTTTAATGAATATTCCTAACAGGTACATTACGAACCGGGACCTGCTATACTATCTCATTTTCCTTTAGTCGCCGTAAAAAAAAAGAGTGTCACATTCTCGTGCTCTGTAGATGATCCAGGATATCCTGATTCAAATAGGTTTGTAGAACGTCAGGCCAACCAGATTTACAAAATTAGAAAAACTCAACACGCACCACTTATTGATTTTCATACCGTCCAAGCATTGCAACCGCAGGAAGCCGACATAGCTTTCGAAGCGCTGCTGCTGCATAAGGACCAAAAGCAACTTCAGTCCATTGTTCCGTCACAAATATCATTCCGAACACGAGAAGCTACCCACCAAGCCCATGAAATTAAAGAAACTCATGCTATTATCGACTTACATTTAAACCATTCACTTTGTACATTACTCACGCTCACCACCTATATGCCACAATCGCAAATCATAATACTTTACACGGGGGTGCAACAAATACCCGATTCGAATGCCTCCACATCGTCCTATACTGTTTATGGAAAAAGAGGGAAATTTTCGTTTGTTGCTCAAATAGTTTCGAAACCCAACAGATTCCGTTGGCTGCGTGGAGGTCGAGGTCCTCTGCAGGACATTGTAACAAAGGACTGGACGGTGGAACCAGTTGGTCTCGATAGCCGGACTAATTATTCTTGCTACGCATATAACGAGGGGGGTAAAGGTGTAATGGCTACTGTTAACTTGGAGGTACACGCACCACCGTTTTTCATCAAGAACTTGCCACCTTATACGGGAATGCTGCATTCTTCGTCCAATGCAACCTTGACTTGTCGCATTGAATGCGTCCCGCGCTGTGAAATATCTTGGCAAAAAGATGGTGATCCAATAGAGCGAAACGATACCCGATACATTATAAAGGAAAAGTACATGGAAGCATCACCAGCCACTGGTGACTTCGAAAGCATGCTATCAGTGTTGGTAAGTTTAATAAACTTATATGTATATTTTTTCCTTTGTCCGCACCCGTTACTCGTTGTGTAAATATTATATATAAGGATTTAGCCGTGTTTGTTTGTGCCGAATCTAAAGCCCACAAAACGCGAAAAACTGGTGCATCCATAGTATAATACTTTAAGTTTTTGTTTGACTTTTAATATATTTGTTTCGTTCATATCGATGTATGATGTATTTTTCCATATACCGATGTACCAACACTATTTAAAACCTAAACATAATTTTACAATTTATTAAAAAAATTATAATGCGTCAATTTGGGAAGTGACGATACCGTCAGCAGATGTCAGTAAAAATTTCTTCTGACATAGTATTTTGAAATTGCTACTCTAAGATTTTATAGCGTTAATACTAACTGATCTAATACTATTGCTGATAAAAAATATATGAGAATTTATTTTATGAATAAAAACGCTTCTTTCTTAAATCAACCATTTTCTGCCAACCAAAAATACCACAATTAGCTCCTACAAAGTAAACTAAAGCGGTTGAGCATTTAGAAGAGGCTTTGTGCAAGACCCGGACGCCGACCTAGCAATATATAAAACTTGTAAAGGATATAATATTATATTATGTTATACTATATTATTACTCGTAAAATAATAGGGTAATGGATAGAATTTAAGGTAGTCATGTCCATATGAACACTGAGATCTGGGGAACTACGAGTAAAGCTCAAGTTAAAATCAGCACACTCTTGTTATACCCGATACTCGTAGAGTAAAAGGAAATACTAGATTCGTTGAAAACAATGTAAAAGTTAGAAGAAAGCGTTTCCGACCCTATAAAGTATACTTATATATTCTAGATCAGTGTCAATAGCGAAAAGATTAAGCCATGTCCGTCTGTCCGAAAGACGAACCCACCAAGCTCGAAAGACGGTTCCCATTTTGGAGAAAAGCTGATACCGCGGTTGACAGTGATAGAAAGTTCGGATTAAGTATGTAGTTTTTTATGATTCCCCAAATGCGATTTTTTTCCGTCTGGCCACGCCGACTCTAACGCCCAGAAACCGCGGAATACTGTGGCATCCATAATATCATAGTTTATGTCCTCGTTTGACCTTGTATAACATATTTTTGTCAATATCTGTTGATATACCAAAGATTTTTCAAATCGGAACAATGATTCGCTATTTATGAAGAAATGTGTCATAAGGTCTCACGTGGGCAGTAACGTCACTATCAGTTTCTAAACAGGCTATCTCTGACAATAGGTGTCGCTTTGTACATTTTCAGTAGCAAGATGAATATTTTACAACAGTAACGGGTATCTAATAGTCGCGGCACTCGACTATAGCGTTTCTTCTTGTTTCTAAGACTGTAACTGGGTCTGTAAAACTACAACTGATAGATATGCAGTTTCCAGAGACGCCTGCGCAACGAAAAAACGGTGGGATCTCGGGACCTACAAGGTCTTGACAGTTTGGACTAAGCAAGTTTATTGTGTAAATCTTGCAATGCTGAAGGTTTCCTTATAATTTTGCCATGTCCACTGTCAAGCCCACAATCTGCTAAAACTTTGGTTCAATAATATTTTGATACAGATTTTGGTTTGACCCTGAAAAATTGCCAAAAAATTAGATTTTAGAGTTTGTTCTTTTTTATTTTAAAAAGGTTTCGAACACAATCGAATTTTTAATGCAATGTGTTTTAATTAAATTTTAATTAATAACTGATATTTCAGCACTTCAATATGCCGAATTGGCCTAATGCGAAATTTGACATTGAGGCGGATAATGCGAACTACACATGCGTCTCAAGCAGCAATACTGTGGGTGGTAGCATAAGAAGTCGGACCTATTTTGGCATTGAATGTAAGTGCAATTAATTACTCTTATATAAAAAGAACTCTTATCTTTTTCTAATAGTTGCACCTGACAATACGACGGTTTCGAAGAATAATATTTACGTGCAAGAAGATACTTTATTAGGCCGTGTAACATGCAATTCCCGAGCAAATCCGGGTTAGTAATTTAGCCCATTTAACTATATTTCATTTACCATCTGCATATGTCTTCAGAACCTTCATACAAGTGGTTTTTCAAAAACGAAACTATATCCAATGAATATGCATTAAGTTTAAATAAAGTCATGAAAAAAACTGATAATGGTACATATACCTGCCTTGCTTATAATAAGCATGGAAGTAGCACTGCTGAAACCATAATCATAGTCCAATGTAAGTAAAAGTGTAATGAAAAAGGTGTTCTTAGATAATAATTTATATTCACTAACTACTAATTGATAATTTTGAAGTTAAGCCACGGTGCGAAATCGAAAGGCGCGAAATTGATGATCAGGACACGCTAATTTGTACTGCTTACGGAAACCCTGTAGAGGTAAGTTCAGTATAAATATGTCTTTGCTAGTGTTGTGATTGTATAGGTTTACAGCGATCATTCTAATTAAAGTAATTTTGAATTAAGAAGAATCTTAACGTTTGCGGAGTCTATATTGTTCCAAAGGATTGCAGTTTTAGAAAGACAATGACTATTATATTAAATATACATAAAATATTGAATATATTATATGTTTTCCTTTCTGTTATAAATTTTATGACCAAATATTAAGTGACCGACCATATGAGTCAAATTTTTATCAAAAATACGTTTTTAGTTGAAACTGGGTTTTATCATCTGACCTTGATGAAACTGTTAATACTAATCGACTTGTTAAAAATTATTCAAATCGCAACATTATTTCAAAATTTATTGGGAATTTAATTTACGAGGCCTCACATAGTGATGTCACGGTTATTAAACATTTTTTTTGGAGTAAAATATTAAACCGTTCTCCTAATTGTATCCAGGGCCTCAAAACTAAACAGCTTATTGCTGGCTTATCAAAGGGACTTAGAAGTTAAGCACATTTAATCACATTCCGAGGCTTGGCTTAAGCCAGAGATATCGGATTCTGAAACTTTTTCAAGCGTATTTAAAAAATATATACATTTAAGGTGGCGCTTAAAGAATTTCCACTAGGAAAATTAATATTTTAAAATTTTATAAAACAGTAACGGGTATCTTATAGTCGCGGCACTCGACTATAGCGTTTCTTCTTGCTTAATATACGTAGTGGCTGACAAGTTCGTCCCTATAAACTAAATAATTTATACTGTATTTTTTTTATCGGTTTTTCACTGGAACTTTCTCTTACAAATTATTTAGAGACCACAAGCCCAACGTGCTTTCCTGGGTAGGATGGGTTTTATTATCCTTAAAGTTCCAGTTATCTAATTAGAAGAATGCAGAGGGTAGTTTTCAAGAACTCAGCCATTCCGACGCTGCATTAAAAGTAAAAATAGAATTTTAAGGAAAGATTTCAGAAAAAATTATTATATTATGTATTTGGAAGTATAGTAGTAAGTATGTAGATTTCGATCTTTACTCTTTGAAAGGTGAGTTCTAGTACAATCGATCAAGTACGAGTTCAGAATAAACAATGAATAATTTAATAAAAAACAAATCGAACACTTACATTCTTTAATTTAAATTGATTGATATCTTGCAGGTTGATTTTGCATGGTCAATTAAAGCTGAAAATGAATCTGTTGAAACTTTGGGAAGTGGTGATAAAAAAACTTTTTCGGAAAAGAGTTTTTATGTATTGGAAACGGACTATGCAATTTCTAGGACTTACAGATGTGTGGCCAATAATACGATTGGGTTTGGGCAGTTTTGCGAAATTGAAGTTGCTGGTAAGTATATTTTAAACTTTGGTCTCTAAGTAATGTTGAATATTTATCAATAAGATTTGAATTATTACGCGATTTCAAACATATTGAAGTTTATGTATCATTCACATAAACAAAATATACTACTAATATAAATGTATAGCGACCTGCATAATAGTGATAATGTTTAAACAAGTTGGAAGCTAAAAATAAAATATTCAAGAGTGGCAAAAATCGCCACTTTTTCGAAAACGGCTGTTTAGGGTTGATATCTTTCAGAACATATGTATGTACGAGGTGTGTTCAAAAAGTAAGGTGACTTTTCAAATTTCAAATTTTTCAAATTTTTCGATTATCTTCAGTTTTGGGAACAAGAAAAAGTCACATGGGGCCAAATCCGGTGAATATGGTGGCTGAGGCATTATTGTGGTGTTGTTTTTGGCCAAAAAATCCAAATCCTTTGATCCATATTTTTCGATAGCAAAAAATCGCCGAGCTCGCAAAACAACTTGTAACTTTACGCCTCTCACAACCAAACAAAAGAGGATGTTCCATTGAAACTTGGTACAGATGTTAGGGAAGAGTGTACCAATATAACAAAACAAAAAAATCGATAATCGAAAAATTTGAAATTCGCGAAATTTGAATAGTCACCTTACTTTTTGAACACACCTCGTATATGCTTAATTTTTTCATTATGTCAAAAACTGAGCAAACGAGGAATGGGGAATCGTATTAGGAAGCCATGCTGAGGATCAGTTACTAAACACTACACAGATATACTTACCCGCATTTCTCTACGTGTACGCAAAAAATATCAAAATTAAACTTTAAACTGAAACTTCTAGCGCATTTATAAATATATAAAACTATAATTTTGTATCCTCCATGACATATTTTTTTTTAGAAATATTTAATATTCTTATATATAATATAATACATTAAATTTAATTTGAAACTTAATACCATGAGAAAAATTGGCATACATCTGTTAAAGGTGGCGTGAAATGCATGATTATGAGATTAACGTTCAATCTAATTTTGAGTGCAACATAATAAAAACCCTTTCGTCTGCATTTGCTAACAAACTACAATCAGAAAAATGGTAAATTTAGTTTATTTCCAAAATAACAGCTCATCCAGTAAATTAGCAATTCAGATCAAAGAGACTTTCAAAAATGTTGATAGCGACGCCTTTTGCCGGAATAACATAAAGCATGCTGACGCTCAAAGACCTTGTAAGGTTTTATAACATACATTTTTTATAAAATTTCTACAAAATATTCGAATAAAAAACGATATATATTCAAAACATAATATTATAGAAGGCCCGATCATAAAACGACCTTGAGCTATTCTATCATCTGTTAGATATTCATGCTTAATCACAACTTCATAGCTTTTAAAGTACCCGAGATCTCCAACTACCTTGTACTGTGGTGTATATGCATGGTATATGCATGTTTAGTCCCAACTTATACCTCTTAGCGTTCATACTTATCAAGTATACAAATTTTGATACTTGGTACATTTTGCTAAGGAATACATAACGCCCATTTACTCTGCGACGGATAGCTAGAATATGTAAGCTTAATTCAAAGTCACTTGATGTCCTTGAGATCTCAGCGTTCATACAGAAAGTCTGACAGGAAAACAGACAGGCCTAAAAGTAGCTAGAACATAGAACATAGGCTAATTATAATACATCAGTTTTACATTTAGCTGACTTGATTTTAAAATTTTAAACACTTGTATGCACGGATACTCGGTATGTATGTGTGCGCCTGAGTCAGCTATTCTAAAAGATCCTCCCTACATTAGTTTTCTGGAAGGCGTGACCCTTAATATTATGCTTAAATATTATAAGTTAAACAAGAGATGGTATCGCTCAGAAACATTAAACTAAATTTATAATAGAAACTTTTATTTTACTTTTTGAAATTTTTCTTAAACATTTTAAGTATTTGTTTATCATTATAAGTAAAGTCGTTTTTCTTGAAATTTTTCAGGGAGCAGTTAAGTGATTTATTTCTACATTTAACAAGTCCGAACAACATACAATAATGACCACAGGTGTTAGAAAAATATCCTTGTAGTTGTTGTTTATTAAAAAAATATTTATGGGCGTTTGATTTTAAAAATGTCCTTTTTCTGCGGATATTGACCATATGAATCGAAAAATTAAGCTGACTTAGGGCTATCAAAATAGAAGGCAATCCAATGAGTTCCATGTTTATCTGATGGATCGGAATTCGCAATAATAAGATCCGGATACTTTTTTATAGTTTTAGGTAACTGGTCCAAAGGGAAAACTCCATTAAAAATCGATTGTGTTTTTGCATGCTTTGATAGCAAATATTTAATTTGTAATGTATTCATGTAAAAAGAGTAATCGTATGTTTCTATGCTTATCGATATCAATCGTGGAATCGTATTCGCAGTACACCAGACAACTAACTGCTTCAGTAAGTGGTTTTGAGAATCTTCCTTCGATTCGTATAGTTCCTTGGGTTATTAAATTCGCACAAGCACTCGAATTTGAATGATTGGCAAAAGCCAATATACGTAAAACTGTTTGTGTCAAACATTTCCTTTGTAATTTGCAGACCACGATCATAATGTTTTATCCCACTAGATCTGAATAGCATATTATAGCCCCGTGAGCTCTGAACATTTTCACCATTCGAGTAATCAAACTCCAGAGCTTGAGAAGGAACTTGAACTTCATTCACCAATAAGTTAAATCGTTTAATTTTAAAATGTTCAAAATGAAATAGATCTAAACCACGGTTTCCTGAATATGAACGGTTTATAACCATACAAAAGGCTAGAAAATTGGGTAGCTGCCCAATAACTGCATTGTCTATAGATAATGCATTATTTCCTGGGTATATTGTGAAAGATTTTACTTCAACCTTATTGAAGGGGTATATAGCATTTTTGGTCTGTAAAACTCGATGGTGAGCCAATAAAATGCTTGGGTTAACTGTTTTATAATTCATGAAAAGTTGAGCTTCCAGTATCTTTAAATTTGACTCAGTACCAGTTTCCATTAAATAAAATGCAGTCTTTTCAATATTAAAATTAATTCTTAAATCAACATTATTTACTAGCAGTTTTGGTTGATTAAATATATATAAATAAATTTTTAAGCTTTAGATTGGTATCTGGATAAACATATTCGCCTGCCGTTATTTGTCCAAAATTCGGGAAATATCCTTGGGAGGCTAAGTGACTTTCTGGGGCATCACTTCCATAGTTTAAAACTGTTTGCAAATACGATCTATAATGATAATTATTATCACTCTGCGTTATTTAAATAAACTGAGGAACTTCTAAATATAGAGTGTAAGATATTGTTCACTACACCGACATCGTTTCCTATCACTTTTTCTAAGTTGCACAACAAGTAAATAAACACTTGATAGGTCTCGATTTGTTTTACCATTTCATAAACAGACAAATTCGATTGATGCTGCTCCGTCTAAAGAAGCAATTGGATTATATGAAACTTCTTCAGTTCTTATAATGGAACTTTGCGTGGGGTGTGGTGCAAACAAATCCAGTTCACTCTTCATGCATTCGATATGATTACTCATTTTGTCGTAGAAAAAATATCGCTAATATTTAATTTTCTTATAGTTATTTTTCGTTTATGATGCGGTTTGGTTTGTTTACGCAGTTGCTTGGATGTTAAATGATGTCGTTTTTTTCTGGTGCCTCGCTTTTTACTTCTTTTTTTTTCCTTCTCCGTTTTGGAATCGGGTTTTTTTTATCAATTGCTCTATCTGATAAATTTTTCAAAGCAATTTTGCTCTGTTTTTGCAGGATATTTCTTAAGGGCTTTCGCCCGATTTCATTGATTACAGCCTTTCCAGTAGCAGCAGCCTGACTTTTTATAGCAGTTATACCCGAAAGAAAAAGTGGTTTGATATAATTAAAAAGACCACTAAAAAAGTTCCCGATTCCTGGTCCTTGTTGAACTATTCGTGGTGATACATAAAGACTTCCAATATTGCTTAAACCGCCACCACATTGGTTTAAATAACATTCGTGATAAGATTTCACCATGACGACTGATTTTATTATGAGTAAATAATATTTAAGCTCGTATTATTTAAAGACTTTATAACGTCCTTCTTCTTCTGAAATGTAGAGTAACAAAAATCGGATCTGTTGACGTTTCAAATGAAACCTTATATTCGTTTCAATCAGTAATTAGTATTGAGGTTTCATTTGGTGAACATATATCCAAAGGATTATATTCAATATTTTTAAATTGAATATTTTTTTCTTTTCCATTATAATACATTACTCGAAGACAACGAGGTTTTTTACGGCCCACAGATCTAGATTTAATTATGTCAGTATAAATAAAAAAGAACCCATTTTTAGGTGTTTTTGAATCAAGGCTTACATTTTTATATCTAAATGTTTCAGCATTTACTAAGCTAACAAATTCCGTTTCTTCAGGCATTGGAATTTCTTTTGGAAGTTTGATTAATATAATTATTGAGATACATGTCTATAATACCAACTTCCCAATCATCGTTCATGTCTTGTGGGTGATATTTACAATGTTTGTAAATGCACACTTTACGTTATCAGGAAATACATTCAATAAATCATTACTGAGCAATGTAATAAACATTTCATCTATATTCCCCACTTTTATTATTTAAATTAAGCACTATTGATAAGAAATCCAATTGATTTTGTTTTTTCCTATTTGGTTTTTAGAACGAACCGATGTTATTAACTTTTCACGTCCAGACACATATTTAAGATCTTGAAATGGATTTGAATCTATTTTATATTTTTTCAGCTTTACCCTTAATTTACGTTGTTGATCATTAAGATTCACTTTTGTCACTGCTTTTCTTTTTATATCTTCTTTATCGTCTAAAAAAGAAGTCTCACTTAATTTTCGCTTATCGTTTAACAACTTTGTCCGTTCCTCGGTCTTAAGTTCTCCTTCATCATATCAGTTGTTAAATTTGTAAGGACTTCATTTTTTGGTAATT